AGTGGACAAGTGTCAACTTCCACTTTTTTATTTGCTTCTCCAGCTTTATTCTTTAAAAAAATAGACAAACTGTCAATTCATTCGGTACCCATTAGGTTGCTTGTTAGAGGGGAAAAAACAAAAATGGGTACCCATTACTTTCAATTCTATTCTACATCACATGTTTTTCCTTTTAATTTGTTTAAGATTAATTGAAATCTTTTTAGATTTGAAAATGTATGGGTCCAAATTTGGAAACCACGACCATTACCGAGTAGGATGAGGAACGAGGTTATCATGATGCACGGTCTGATGGTCGTCATGGTGAAAGGTACGACTGAGGGCAGTTAGTCGATGCATAACGTCCACGACAGTGTAAATTTAGTGAGAGACAGTAAGAATATGCTTTTCGAGTATTCTCTATGTTGTATTTTTTAGGGTTTTTGTGGAGATGGTCCCTTATAAATAAGAAGGGTAAGCAAAGAAGAAAGGGGGAGAAAAAAATACAAAAGAACACTTTGTAAAAGAATCATCTGAGATTGAATGCAAAAGCAATCTTGTTCATCAGAGAAGATCCTAAGATTTCCCAATCATCTCACATTTATTCTCCCTCACACCGCTTGCATCTGTGACGGTTCTATTGTGTATTTAAGCCTTCACATTTATGAGCATTTATTCGATTTGAATAGACTCGTTATATCATTCATCTTGCTCACTCCTTCCATCATTTGATCTAGGTTTTATTGTGCTTGACTAAGATTGACCTCATCATTATTATCAATTGTTTTAATTGAAAAGGTTTTGACATCTTTTGGTCAAATAATTTGGCATCGTTTGTGGGGACTTCTTCAGTTTAGATTGCAGTTTCATCTAGATCATAGAAAGGGATAGTCACCTCTTCCTAGTTTTACGCAAACTAACAATGGCAGGGAAAGGAGATTCAAGGCTAAAAGCAATAGTAGGTGTCACAACCAACATCCTGAACACCATCAACGAAGATAGCAGGGAAGATAACGAAAATGGGACACCAAACACCACACCCAGGGGAGACGCTTCACCTCCCCCGTACGAAAGCGTAACTGCTTCGCGCGAGAAGGAAGCCTCCACATCTACAACAGGAGAGGCACCATCGGCAGTGAGAAGACTACTGGAAGAATGGCTAACAAGTACTCTAAACAACATACTTGATAAACCCTCCCAAAAGGATAACAGAGATATTGCACATGTAGATGTCACGACGNTTATTAGGGAGAAGGTGGGCGTTGCTCCCGTGGACGACAAGATGCGGGAATCGAGGCTTAGGTGGTTTGGACACGTGCGGAGGAGAACCATAGATTCCCCGGTTAGGAGGTGCGAGCGGTTGGCTTTGGCAGGTACGAGAAGAGGTAGAGGGCGGCCTAAGAAGAATTGGGGCGAGGTGATCAGGCAAGACATGGCGCGACTCGAGATTTCCGAGGACATGGCTCTTGATAGGAAAGCGTGGAGGTCGAGCATTAGGGTTATAGGCTAGGGGGTAGTTCATAGTTTTTCCCTCTTTATACCGGGTAGTCCGATAGAGTTTTGCCTATGTCTGGTAGCGGTATATGTTGTGTTCACACTATTTTGTTATTTTGCATATGATTATATTATTGCACTCCCTTTCACTTATTTGGTCTATTTTAAGATATTATTATCACTTCTCTTGCTTCTTTTGTTGTTACATATCTCTTCTTTCGTTCCTTTTCTGAAATTATTATCTCTTCTGTTGAGCCGAGGGTCTCCCGGAAATAGCCTCTCTACCCTTCCGGGATAGGCGTAAGGTCTGCGTACATCCTACCCTCCCCAGACCCCACTAGTGGGATTTTACTGGGTATGTTATTCTTGTTGTTGTTGTACACCGTTTGCATCTATGACGGTTCTATTGTGTATTTAAGCCTTCACATTTATGAGCATATATTCGATTTGAATAGACTCGTTATATCATTCATCTTGCTCACTCCTTCCATCATTTGATCTAGGTTTTATTGTGCTTGACTAAGATTGACATCATCACTATTATCAATTATTTTAATCGAAAAGGTTTTGAAATCTTTTGGTCAAACAGAAAATACATTAAATTTAACATTCACAATTTTTTCTTAAAAATACTCTTTTATAGAAATAATATGATATGTTTAAGATCTTCTGATTTAAAAGCCATTTTTAATTTTCCCTTATACATATTCAACTTATGTGTCAAAAAAAAAATTGATCTTTCTTAAATTCTTGCCTAGTAATACACTGACATAAAATGAAAGGGAAAATGAGCCGAAAAATATATATTTTTTTGTATATA